ATACATACACATACACATACACATACACATACACGCACATATATACATACATACACATACACACACACATACATATACACATACACATACGCATTCACATTCACATACACACACACATACACATACACATACACTCACACATACACATACACGTACACACATCATACTCATACTCATACACACTCTCATACCCACACACCGTTGCCCACAGAATCTCCGTAACCCAGACTGGAGACAGTGTCATACTAGTTCACTGCTACCATGACAACTTTACGGACTGTGACTTCGACCCACCGATTGAACGCGAGGAGTACCTGACTCTGTCTATAGCCATTGAAGCCGGGCAGAGGCCCAAGGTTGATGCTGCACGGGTGAGTCAACTAAACTCTAAAAACCCAAAACCCTAAGACTGAGTTAGCTAAACCCTAACAACCAAACTCACGATTGATTGTGCACGGGTGAGTAAAGAAGTGTGTGTGGGTATGTGGGGGTAGGTTTATGGAGACGACCCAAGAACCACACCGCACACGGAGCAGGGGATCTGTAGGGGATATGTCTCAGTGAGTGTGTGTTTTTTGTTGTTCTGTGGTAGGGTGTGGGAGCGTACACGCACTTATAGTCACGAAAGCCTATTTTCAATTGATAATCCAACCCGTGCAGCGGTTGAAGCATCTGACATGTCTTACGTGTAGGGATAAGGCCTGGGACTACTGCGGGATGTACGATATAGAAAGACGTATATGCATATATATATATATATACATACACATACACATACACATACACATACACATGATCATACACGTACTCATACACATACGCATACACTTACACATTCAAATTTAGATTTGCATTTACATCCACATTCACATTCACATACACATCTACAAACACATACTCATACACATACACATACACATACACATACACATACACATACACATACACATACACATACACATACACATACACATACACATACACATACACATACACATACTCATACTCATACACATACACATACACTTACACATTCAAATTTAGATTTGCATTTGCATTTACATACACATTCACATTCACATCTACATACACGTACACATACACATACACATACACATACACATACACATACACATACACATACACATACACATACACATACACATACACATACACATAATCATACTCATATACATACACATACACATAATCATACTCGTATACATACACATATACATATACATACACCCCTCAACACAGGCAATCATCAATACGAATGCCAACCACTACCTGCAAGTCTTTGGGGCGGATGACGCCATACCAAATGAGATGACCATCCAGCTGTTCCATAAACCATTCCAACACGCTGATGGGTCTATATTCGCCAGGCTGATGCGTACGTGACCGCTGATCATGCATACATACACACATACATACATATGTTGTAGTGTTGCTGTGTATGTGTGTATATACACATGTGTGTATGTGTGTGTATGTGTGTATATACACATGTGTGTATGTGTGTGTATGTGTGTATATACATATATGTGTTTGTGGTGTATGTGTGTATGTACACAAGTGTGTCTGTGGTGCATGTGTGTGTATGTGTGTGTATGTGTGTATATACATATATGTGTTTGTGGTGTATGTGTGTATGTACACATGTGTGTTTGTGGTGCATGTGTGTGTATGTGTGTATATACACATATGTGTTTGTATATACACGTGTGTTTGTGGTGTATGTGTGCATATACCCATATGTGTTTGTGGTGTATGTGTGTGTATGTGTGTATATACACATGTGTGTTTGTGGTGTGTGTGTATGTAAGTGTGTGTATACACAAATGTGTTTGTTCTTCTCACAATATATGCAATCCATTATAATATAATTCTCATTCATCTACCTACATATCACTCATTCTCATTCATATACCTACCTCGCTCCCAGGGCTAAACGGGACCAATCTCCCGCTTTCGCTGTCCTACCGCCGGTCAAGGATAGTGTTACAAGTGGGTGGTTATGAGCTCAGTCGTGACATGCAGCTACAAGCGACTAACGTGCAAGCAGGCATTGATCCAGGCTACTTCTATGAAGCCTGTCTGCTCACCTTCACAACCACGCTCACAGGTGAGTCTTGCTAGCCGTTGTCATGCGCGTGTGTGCGAGTGTGTGTGTGTGTGTGTGTGTGTGTGTGTGTGTGTGTGTGTGTGTGTATGTGTATGTGTGTGTGTATTGGGCCGCATGCAGGTGAACTCAGAAGATAGGCCAAATGTGTGTCTATATCTGCAAGTGGCGTGTGGGAGGGATGGTTGTTCTGTGTCATGTTACGTGTGTCCATGCGTTGGTGCTGCGCTTTCGGTCCATCTGAGAGCCGAGTCACCTATGTCAGTTCATGTAATCAGGTACAAGTGCCAGTCCTATCTGATCTCATTGCAGGTGCAGGCTTTGTCTGTGTAGGTACTTGGTCATACCTTCACTTCTCATGTAATCAGGTGCAAGTGCCAGTCCTATCTGATCTCATTGCAGGTGCATGCTTTGTCTGTGCTCTCTGTGTAGGTACTAGGTCATACCTTCACTTCTCATGTAATCAGGTGCAAGTGCCAGTCCTATCTGATCTCATTGCAGGTGCATGCTTTGTTTGTGCTCTCTGAGTAAGTACTGGGTCATACCTTCTCTTCTCATGTAATCAGGTGCAAGTGTCAGTCCGATCTAATCTCATTGCAGGTGCATATAAGTACGATTCTTACATAGAATACCGTCTTCTTCTTCTTTTGCATCATGATTGGATTGGCATTATTCTCAATCACACTTCTACCATCTTCTCATACACTCACACACTACACACATTACTATCAACCACACTTGTACTATCTCCTCATACACCCACACGCCACACACATTACTATCAACCACACTTGTACTATCTCCTCATACACCCACACACTACACACATTACTGTCAACCACACTTGTACTATCTCCTCATACACCCACACGCTACACACTTTACTATCAACCACACTTACATACACCCACACACTACACACATTACTACCACACATTACTACCAACCACACTTGTACTATCTCCTCATACACCCACACGCTACACACATTACTATCAACCACACTTACATACACCCACACACTACACACATTACTATCAACCACACTTGTACTATCTCCTCATACACCCACACGCTACACACATTACTATCAGCCACACTTACATACACCCACATACTACACACATTACTATCAACCACACTTGTTCTATCTCCTCATACATCCACATACTACACACATTATTATCGATCACACTTGTACTATCTCCTCAATACACCCACACACTACACACATTACTACACACATTACTACACACATTACTACCAACCACACTTGTACTATCTCCTCATACACCCACACACTACACACATTACTATCAACCACACTTGTACTATCTCCTCATACACCCACACACTGCACACAATACTACACACATTACTATCAACCACACTTGTACTATCTCCTCATACACCCACACGCTACACATTACTACATACATTGCTATCAATCACACTTGTAATGTCTCCTCATACACCCACACATAGAACCTAAAACCCTAAAAACACACTACACAACGTCCCGATGGGTCCCCCACACAGCCACGGGCGATCTTAAGTACGAAGTGATATACGTCTCAACGCTTGACGGAAATGCGACAACTGTGATGTCGGAAATAGCTCAACTGTCGCATATTCTGGCTGGCCAGGGCTACGACGGGTCTAACTTTGAGACATTGGGCCACTCAGTGTACTTTGGGAGTGGCTTCATGGCGAATAGCGAAGGCCAGCTCAACCCGTACAGGGTATGCTACTAAAACCCTAAAACCCGAAAAACTGGGTATGTTAACACTATAACTATAACTATAACTATAATACTACTGATACTAACGTACAGGGTATGTTAACACTACAATTATATCTATTACTATAACATTATTGATACTTACGTACAGGGTATGTTACTAAAACACTAAAACCCTAAAAACAGGGTATGTTAACACTATAACTAAAACTATATCTATAGCACTTTGATACTAACGTACAGGGTATGTTAACACTATAACTATATCTATTACTATAACACTATTGATACTAACGTACAAGGTATGTTACTAAAACACAAAAACAATAAAAACAGGGTATGTTATCACTATAACTAACTATAACTATAATACTATTGATACAGGGTATGTTAACACTATAACTATAACTATAACTGTAACACTATTGATACTAACGTACAGGGTATGTTACTCAAACCCTAAAACCCTAAAAACAGGGTATGATAACACTATAACTATAACTATAACTATAACACTATTGATACTAACGTAAAGGGTATGTTAACGCTAACTATAACTATAACTATAACACTATTGATACTAAGTGTGTCTGCTTGCTCTTCTGTGCCGCAGATCTATTATGGTCTGATGGACGATGTCAAAATATGGAACAGAGTGCTGACACTGGAAGAAATCAAGGCGTCCAGAGGCATCAGGGAGACCAACAACTCGCCGGGTATGAAATTGATGGTGGGGTCTGTGTATATACCTACATACTTTTATTGTATGTGTACACACCTATATATATATATGAGTGTGTGTGTGTGTGTGTGTGTGTGTGTGTATGTATATATATACTATATATATATTATTTATTTATTTATTTATTATATATA